GCCCCAGCCTGTGATGTGGGGGTAGGGGGCACTCCCAGCCCAGACCCATCCAGGTGGCCTGCTGGCCCTGCATGGGCAGCCGCTGGACACTGGGCACACATACTGTCTGCAGGTCATAGGGGAGCAGAGGGAGGTGCGGGGTGCTCCAGGGACCTGAGGTGAGTGCCAAGTGCCCCCAGTGCTGATGCCCCCTCCCCACAGCCTGTGAGCCGGAGCTCATGCCCACCTTCCCTCACCACCGCAACAAGCGGGCTGCTCCCGCCGTGTCTGAGAGCCAGAGCAAGCGCTGCAGGCCCTGACGCAAGGCCCCTGCCGGCCAGGCTGACGGCTCCCGAGATCCAGCTGGACCCTCGGCCAGGACTCACCAGCTGCTTCAGCCGACCACTCTGATTCCTGCCTCCTCACCCACCACTGCCCCAGAACGGCAGGGTGTGCACTGGTGATATGGATGTGGCACCCTGAGCCCGGCCCCACCTGAGCTGTGGTGGCCCCACCTGGGGCCCTACTAGGTTCTGCCCATTGCCCCACCCTGGGCTCCTAGCAGCTCTGGAAGCACCCACGGGGCTCATCTTGGGGGTGTTGCTGGCTAGGGGTGTGTGGAGGGGTTGGGTGTGGGTTGGACCCGGGTCTGGGCCATGACCACTTGGAGACACCAGAGCAAATGCCCTCCTGGGGGCAGAGCCCCAGGGGAGGGTACAGTTAGTGCTACAGGAACTGAAATAAAAGCTTTCCTGACAGACGCAGGCAGTTCTGTGTCCTTTAATGTGTGGAGGTTCTGTCCTATGACAAGTACTGGGAAAGGGGTGGGGCGGACGGGGTGGCACCTGCACTGAGGGCTGTGGCAGGCACAAATGTTTGCCATTGGGCCTGGGGTGGGCTTCATGGGAAGCCTGGGGGCTGTGCCCAGAAGCGACTGACAGCCGGTCCAGGCTCCATCAGCCCCCGCCTGCTGCTGCCTGCTCTCCAGAGCTCGGGCACCGCCTCTCCAGTTTGAGACCAGATCATCTCTCCTCCATCCATGACCCAGCTTCCTGCACAGCTATGACCAGGGCACATGTCCAGCCAGTGCTGGCCTGTGACACCCACAGTGAGGGGCCAGGTCAGCCACGCACCTGGCAGAGCCCTCTGGACACCTGGTGGGAGGCAACGTGTCCCAAATCGGAACTGCAGGGAGCATCGGGGGCTCCAGGCAGACCATGGGGCCCACGGTGGGGAGGGGGAGGTCCTTCATGGGGACAGGCTCGGGTGCCTTGACACGGTCAGGTGGGCTAGACCTTGTACGCAGCACGGCCGGGCGTGGGTCTGGGTAAGAGGAACTTTCCATGGGAGGCAAGACCCCGTCCACCTGTGGAGCCTGGGCTCGTCTGTCCAGGGCGCAGTGGCCGAGGCTGAGGAGGGACAAGGGCAGAGAAGCACCACGGAAACACTGGGGGAGCCCTTGACCAGGGGCCTGGCTGGGCCTAGGGCCGGGCCCCAGGGCTGTCGTAGAGCAGGGTGTCCACCTCTGCGCGCTGCTGCC